AGGAATGCACTGGTATCCTTTGCTAAACCAATGTATTAACTAATATTGTCTGAGGGTCTAGTGCAGTCTGCACACTTAGCGTTTATGAGAACATTTTTTCTTTCTTCCTAGGAAGACCACAGTTTACTTGAGTCTCATATATAGATGGTGTGAACAGAAATTCTTCTTGTATATAAGCAGTGAAGAGAAAAATATTACTTGCTTCCATGTCATAGATCCTGTACTCCATAATGCAGTATATAGGTATTTTTATGTCTTCACCTTTTGGTTGCCTTTCCCCACTAGCTAATTTATCACCAGGAGGTGGTGACAGAGACTGGCAATTACAGCACTGAGGATATATAAACTTCAGTGGAAGTTTTAAAGGTGAGTCATCCAACAAGCTCAACGTGCAATAACTTCAGAGAGATTGAACCTTTCAATACATGGATATGGAGTTTGTCAAAGCTGTGTTGCTCATGACTGCTAGTATCTTGTGTTTCCACTAAGTCAGAATAAATCCTAGAGCTGGCATCAGGTGTGTTACTTCACTGTGTTTTATAGTCTTTGGACAAGTGACCATGAACCTGAATTATGGTATTTTCCCCACAGACTTATCACTGGAGCTGTGAGGAAAGAATCAGGTGTTTGGATTTAGTAGTCCCTCGTGCTGTACAGCACTTAAAAGAATAAAAGATCAGACTTACAAAAGCATTTGGGCATCAAATAGCTGAGGTACGAATGCCACTACTATATTTTAAAGGTCTGTGAGTCAGATGTATTTTGGCAAATACATTTGGGCATTATAAGAGCTCTTTAATAAGCTGTGTAGTTATGGCTGAAGTTGACTTAGGGTCTTAGTTTCTTTGTGTTTCTGAAATCCCTACAAGTGCCTCTTTGTTCCTTTGGAACTTAAAAATCTGGCTGACTGTAGAAAGATTTTCCTGCTGTTGGAATTGCTCTCCCAGCTGCTCAGCGCCACTCAGTGTCACCCATTTGCTCCCTTTCTCCATCTGGGATGGTCTCAACCATTGATGTGTACCTGCTCCCTCCTTTTCCTGAGGACAGGAAGACAGGTGTCCTGTCTCTTCCCTCTGCCACACTGCAGAGGGGGGACAGGGAAATGTATCTGCATGTCCACGCAAGGTCCAATCTGCCCATTTTCAGCAGTAGATTAAGATACTGTCTTTGCACTCGTGTCTGAAGCATAGACGTATATTCCCTTCCACCAAGCCTACTGTGGGAGTGATGACCTCTGGGAAGAGGTGGAGGAAGACATTGGGTCCTGCAGTTATTACCAGCATTCAGGTACAGTTACATGGATGTGTATGTCTTAGCGTAACATTTTCATCTTTAAGGACGTACAATTCTTGCAGGTGTGTAAAACTGCCAGTTCTTACAAGGTTTGTCACTTTTCACTGGTACCACAAGTAGTATTTACAAGGTGGCATTGCTCTTGTATTCCAAGAGTGATGAAAGTAAGAACAGCAAAATCACTGTTCCTCTGGTATTTTCCTTGGAAACAGTGCTCTGCTTAAAGCCTTGGATATTAAACTATACATCAAAGTATGCATGAAGCTTTCAAAGCTGACAAAAGTTCCTGTCTTCAGTTTGGAGAGTAATTTTTGTGACAGATGATATTTGCTTTGTCTTTATATAATTTTTCATAGTGTTGCTTTAGGATTGACGTCAGACGTAGTTTGGAGTGTAATTTGTGTTTGCAAGGTGTTGATTGCTTTTTGTATTGGAGTCTGTGGCTCAGCGCTCTGCCTGGTTTCTGATTATATTACACATACGGCACTTTGTAGTTACTGCCAGAGGTAGTAGCTCTTTAGTGCCAGCTCTTGTGTTCTCTTCATTAAATGTTGATGTTGTCCAGCTCTGCTGGGAACCTCTTTCAAGGCTGTGGTCCTGGACTGTTGTAAGTTAAGACAGTAAATGTTTTACGTGACTGTACCGGAACTGTTACTGGCCCAGATACGTGCTTGAACATGGTCCAGTAATAGCTCATTGGAGCCATGCTTACTGCGAGCTAAAAGCTTGGTCTGACACTTGGTGTTCTTACCAGAAATAGTATCTGAATGTTACAGAGTGTAAAGGTCTGTACTGTGTAACCAAACCGGACAAGGTATGTTGAAATCCACCCTTTGAAATAAGAAATGGTTTCGTAATTCCCGATTTGAAGAAAAGTGGAAAAAAGCAGGGCTAGGAGAAGTTGTGACTCCTAAAAAAGAAAAATGTATTTCTAATAGACTAATATAAAATAAATTACGATGTTAATATTTAAACTTTCTGCATGTTTAGTAAAAATGAAAATACTGATCTGAAGTAGCTTCCCTGAGAACCTGATACTGCTTACTGTGTACTCTGATGCACAGGTGGCATTCAGGCAGTGGAAGAAAATGCTTAACTGGAGAGGCAATGTATTTAAAAGGGCTAGAGCAAGAACCAGATGCATTAAAGTGGTGTAGAGGACATGCTCATGAGTTCCCTGTTTGCATGTTAACTGTGTTTGTGCAGTACTGCTAGCCAGGTGGCTGTATGTCATTGGCATATTAATTTCCAAAATATCCCTCTTTTTATGGACAGTATAAGAGAAAGAAGCCAAAAGGAAATGGGAGCACATTATACGGAGCAGTTGAGAACTATTGATTTGTTGTGATTCTCTTACCATTGTGACTTGACTTCTTGTATTGTCACACCGATGTGGTAGAATTGGAACAATTGTGGGTGGAATAAGGACTCCTGCAAGAGTATAAATGCGACCATTTTTTGCAACAATATCTGTTTCTTCCATTTCTTCTCCGCTCACCAAGACTTGTCCCTATGAAAAAATAAATTATTATGAATAATAATTTTTTCATAGCTTCCCAATTTCTGATAATTTAATTTCAAGAATTTCTAGTCATACTTCTTTTTAATTGCTATCTATTTTTATGAAGCTTTTTTTATGCAAGAAGCATGCATATGTTGCTCATTTTCTTGGATATTGGTCTACAACAGCGATATCTAAAGTTTTCCTCTTAATCTGCACTGTTATCTTGTGGAACTGGTGGCTAAAAGACTGGCCAAAATGGGAAGGCTACTGATGACTTCAGGCACCGATTTCAGTGGGCATAAGCATGCTTTGATCCTCTCTCTGACAAATGGGGGAAAGTGAGAGAGAATGCGATCTATCCAAATTCACAGGAGGAAAAAAAAATGTCTTTCTGCATTTACTTATGCAACTACTCTGCCTTTACAAGCATTTTCATAGGCGCATCTCTTCTCTAGAATGTTCATATTTGCCTAAAATATACAAAGAACAGAAGAGAGTTCAACATATCAGATAAGTTTGGCTTAGCAAAAGTGCTGACAAATAAACACCTTTAAAAAAGTGTTAACTAGGTTCATCAGTATCGGAGACTATAATATTAAAGGAAATAAAAGAATATCTATGTGTGCACTGAGAAATGTTTAAAATAACCAAAATATGTAACAGAATTATTGAAAATATTTTATATAGATATATATATATTTTTTTTTTTAAACTAGGCAGAGCATAAATGTGGTTCATTCCTAGACTGGGGCTAACCATAAGAAAAAAGAAACGGCAGGCTGTCCTTATATACCAGTCATTTGCTCTGCATCCTTTGTAATACTAACTTTATAATACTTTGTAACAGTAGGTAGGAGTGGCAAGTTGAAAAATTCTGCCTCATTATAGCAAGAAATTCTTTTGGTAATGTCCCCCTCCTCCCTTTTTTATTCCCCTGCATGCAAACAGTTGCCTAGATCAGAGTGTGCCGTTAGCAGGTGAGAGCTGCCTTTGACTTACAGTGCTGGTCCTGTTAAAGTAAATGAACTGCTTTGCCATGCTTCTGATGTGCTCTATGGAGACAAGGCTGGCAACCTCTAGCTGAAATGAATATAAATTGATTGAAAGACATGAAATATCATTACTCTCTTCAAATCCACATAGATTTCTCAAGAAAGGTCACCTTTCTCTTCAGGGTGAGGGAATGACCCTGTCGGCTTTTCTTTGGCTAGATGGGCAGCCTTGCATTGACTAACCTGGTTGTGTAATGAAGTTGTAATGTCTAAACTTTGATTGGGATTGCTGGATGCTGTGTCTGAAGAGCTTTTCCCCTGAAAGGATATTATTTTTTTCTCCTAATTATAGCAACCAGTCTAAGTTATCACCTCTCCCTAAAAATAGCCCTGTTTGCATCCTTAGACCATTGCGGAAGTGTCAGTGCTGATATCTCATGAAGGGGCACATGGGTCTCATGCCTCTGCTCCCTGTGATCCTGCTCTGTGCTGGGAGCAACCTCTGCCTTGGACACTGTGAGTGGGGCCTTTTGCTAAAGATGCAAGCACATCCTTCCTTCCCTGCAGCTGGGATGGGGATGAACTTCAGTCTCATCTAGCTGTAGTTGCTGGTGGTGTTACTGGGTTCTGCTCTTTGTTTCCAGTAGAAAAAGGAGGGAAAAACAGGGAGCTTACTCAGAGGAGGACAAAACTACCTGTCTGATAAACTGAAGACTAATCTTAGCACAATTGGCTCAGACAGTGCTACTCTTTCTTGCAGCCCTGCCAAGATGACAGTAACCCCTGACAGTGGTTCTTGCTCTGCAGTGGGCTAAGGTAGTGGGACTTAGGTTCAGGATGTCAATGTGTGTGTGTATATATGTACACACATATATATCCCCATCACCAAAAGGTGTATTTTAAAGTGGAAATAGTGACTGGCATGTAACACGTTAGTGTGACACAACGTAGTTTTCATTTGCCATGGTTCAAGGTTCAAGTTCACGCCTCCTACCAGGATTTTATTTTGGTTAGTGACACGGAGGTGAAAGGTTTGTGATTTCTGTTAGTGACCTTTGTGTGACTACCCTTAGTAAGGGCAGACACATAGCTGTCCTTTGCAGCCTTGCTGAGCAACACTGAGTGGAGGTTTTTCCTGGAAAAAACTCTGCCTTCAGAGTGGCACAGGGTTTGAGAATGTTCTTGCAGCCCTGGGTCAGTAAAGCAACCGTGCTCACCTCAGTATTGGAGACAATGTGGTATCGGACCAGTTCCAGCAGCTTCCATGAACCCTGCCAAAGCAGAAAAGAGGCTGTTTTAACCCAAAATGAGTCACACAAACCCAACCTGGACTGTGAGAGAACATAGGGATGAGAACAGCATCATCAGCTGGTGCACCAGAAACCTCTGGATCGATGGTGGTGCTCAGCTCATGGCACGCAACCTGCCCTGTGGCATCTGCACCCTCTGCCTGTCCCTGCCAGGGGTGACACCTCCCAGGAGAGGCTTTAGGGCTTTGCCACGTGGTTATCCAGGCTACACGGGCACGGTAAGAACAGAGGAACGAGGACCTGGTGTCAGGGATTGGTGTCGCTTCATAGGATGGGAGATCCCAAATCCCATTCCTCTTTAAGTGTTACATTGTTCTTTAATCATTAGAGATGGCTTAAGCCTTGATCACAGGAACTTAGTTTAGATGAACACTAAACTAGATGAATGATGTGTGTATGCATCTACCTATACATCTACGTGTATATCTACTATCTAAGAAAGATTCACATTACAGAAATACTATACCTCTGTAGAAAGGAGGTAATCCAGAGCCTCAGCTTTCATATTACTCAGAGCCTCATTACTTGGAACAAAGACTGTGTAAGGTATGTTGTCTTCCTGTAAGTCCATTCCCAGGCCAGTTTTCTGTTTTGGTTTAAAAATAAAAGTGAAATTATATATTAATATTGAAGAACATCTGAAAATAGCTTTATGGAATAGTTTTCCTGGATCCTTACCTCTATCAAAGATGTAAATTGGCTGTATCTTTCATTACCTTGAAGTACTGACATTATGGTTTCCTGAAATAAGATGAAAGCAAGATTTATTTTAGTTGGGAGCAAGGACTATAAATACCAATTCTTATAAAACCTGTTTTGAATTACTGTATGCGTCTTGGTTATTACAAATGGAATACATTTGGGTTTCCTTGTTTTTTGGTGACTGGTAGTGTCTGGAAATGGCCAAGAGGGTAGCACTTTTGTCCTGGTCCTATACTGACTTATAGTTACAATTTCTCATTGTCCTGAAATACTGTGTAGTAACAGAACATACAAACAGTGTGTGTATAGGGAAAGTGTTATTATCTCTTCATTCCCAATGAGAAAGGGCAGAGAAATAAAATATTTGCAAAAACACCATATAAGAAGTGAACTCTCAAGGAAGTACACTAAATAGGGCACCAAGAACCCCAAAGCATCCAAAAATATCAGGTTTTTTATTAGCCTTTTGCAGTGAGGGATTTCTGCTTTGAATACAAGTCTTGCCTGATATCTGTCCAGATGTCCCTCTTTTTAATATGTTCCGGAACTCAGTGAGGTGCACTGATTACGACTGCCAGTTTCCCAAGGAACCACTGAAATGCAGTGAGTACAAACAAATCCTCCGTGGACCAGCTTGGCAGAAGAGCAATTGTCTGCTTGCTGTGCAAACTGCGTCAATGTCTTTCACTTTGAGTGTTGCTTCTCTGAGCTGATGCACAACAGTGCAGTAGAGTTTGTCTAGCTGCTGTCAGTCATCCTTCTTTGTGCATTCAATTAATGTGAAACTATTTTAAAAGCAAGTCTGTCATTGCATGTATATAGCTTACAGCTCACCTCTTTGCTGCTTTCAAATGTTGGCTCCACGTTGTCCATGGCTTTGTCAATAATGTGCAGAATCCCATTGGAAGCAATAATATTTCCCTCTAAAAGTTTTCCTTTCCTCCTTCCTCCTTGGATTCTAATTCTTAATTGATTATCCTGAAAGAAGCCAAGCATTGGATATTGAGCTCTTTATTATGCAATGACAACAGACAGAGTATGAGTGTTGAATAAAGTCTAGCACTCCCTTCCACTGGTAACACCTGGGCCATTTAAATCAGCGGAGGCTAAAGGTTGCTTCCAGTCCTTATCAAGGAAATGGAAAAAATCCTGACTTTGCATCAGGACCATGTTATTTTGTTCCAGGACAGCAAAGTTCTGAAGAGAAGCAGGGATAGGCCCTGTAGGGAGGGCAGTGTCCCTAAAAGGGCTCTGTTGACTGCTAGTAATAGAAGTCTGACAGGAAATGATTTAAAATGTGATTGTACTGAAAGGGTCAACTCCCATAATCGTAAGGGACTGCAGCCCATTTCCTTATATTATATGTGTATTTAAAACAACAAAATGTTGCTGATTCTGCACTGTACTGAAACCTGCAGGAAACAGGCCTCGGACAGCAATGATATTTTCCTGTTGCAAATGGAGTGCGTACTCATTAAAGAAATAAAAAAGATCTTTTCTCAAATGCCACTGATCTACTAAAAAACATGAGAACTATTTGATTTCAGCCTTCACATTAACAGACATTTAATGGACCAAGAGCAATAATTCTAGATCATAAAATCTAATATATATGCTGTAGAGAACAAATTGATTTCAGCCTTCACATTAACAGACATTTAGTGGACCAAGAGCAATAATTCATAAGATAAGATATAATAATAATATAATAATATCATAAGATATTATCTTATGATAATAAGATCATAAAATCTAGTATATATGCTGTAGAGAACAAATTTTTTTAAACTCTGGGATGTCCTGGTTTTTAGCTGGAATGGAGTTGGTTGTCTTTTCAGTAGCTAGAATAGTGCTGTGTTTTGCTTTCAGCATGGGATTTGTTATGAGACACAGTGTTTGCATTTTTGTCACTGGAAGTGAAGGACTTCATGTTTTATTAGTTTATAAGCACAACAACTAAAAGGGTGAGGAATACTTAAATTAATAAGCTAAACTGGTATTTGGATATGCCAATGGGATATTCCATATCATGTCATGTGCATTAGTGAGGGGTTCTTCCTCTTTTGGCCCTCTCTGACTTTTGCTTGGGCTCCTATTCTTCTGGGACTGTGGTTTCAGTTCGGGATTGTCACTCCTCTGGGATCGTTATCTGGGAATGGGCTGGGCTTGGTCGGTGAGTGGTGTGCAACTGCACTGTGTATGACTCACTGGTATATTTTGTTACTATTATTATTTTCATTATCACTACTCTTTCAATATTAGTATTATTTTAAGTTTTCTTTTATTTCTATTAATCAACCTACAAGCCTCCTCATCCTTGCTCCCCCAAATCCTCTCTCCTGTACCCTGGAGGTGGAGGGGAAGTGGTTGAACGGCTGTGTTGGCTGCTAGCCAAGGGCTAGCCAAGTAAAACTGTGGCCAGGGATCAGACTGCCCTGATGTTTTCTGACATGAAATAAAATGGGCAAGTGATGAACTTTACCCCGTGTTTTTCATGATGGATTGCCATGTGCATTTTATTTAGGCTGAAGACTTTAATTTTTTGTGTCATTCAAAAGATGCCAATGCTCACTGGGAGGTGGGATCTGCAGTGCTTGCTCTGTGTGAGCACTACACACAGGTTTCCAGTTTAGATTGGGTATTAGGAAAAATTTATTTACTGAAGCTACAAGTTGCACCAGGAGAGGTTTAGATTGGATATTAGGAAAGATTTCTTCACAGAAAGGGTTGTCAAACATTGGAACAGGCTGCCCAGGGAAGTGCTGGAGTCACCATCCCTGGAGGTGTTCAAAAAACATGTAGACATGGCACTTCAGGACATGATTTAGTGGGCACGGTGGTGTTGGGTTGATGGTTAGACTTAATGATCTTGAAGGTCTTTTCCAACCATAATGATTCTATGATTCTATAAAATCTGTGCTTTTCTCTCGCCATGCCCCCTCTTCACCTAGGCTCTCTTAATTCCGCATCCCCCTGCCCCCTTCCTCCCTTTAGAGGTGATGCACCTCTAAAGGCAATTTTTTTTTTTTTTTTTTCACTGATTTTAATGGGAACTTTGATGCTGGTGAAGTTTCACATTTCACTTGAAGTCCTTGTAATGCATGGCCACCCCGTGGTATTTCATAATCCCGCAGCTATCTGCAACCTGACATCTTGCTGTGGAAAGACATTTCATGTTCTTTGTCGAGTGAACAGAGAGTAGTACTTTTGCTGAGGTAGGCTGAAAAGCTGCTTACCTTTTCTCCCTTTGTTATCTCTCCTGACTTTCCAGTCAAAGTATATATTACATTAGTATCATTCAAGCTATTGGTATTCAGTTGACCAGCAATTATATGGAGTTTCACAAAGTACTGTGCTTTCTGTTTATTATTCAGAAGATCCTTTATCTAGAAGAGCAGAAAAAGAGATATATTTCAATACAGGCTTCATCTAAAAAAACCTAAATTCTTATGGTGAATGCTTATTTCACTCCATTTGTTACATTCTGAGATTATGTTTTCTATAAAGTGCAGTGATTGGGTCTGAACTAAGTGGAGGCCTCTCTTAGTATGAGTTCAGGTTGGATCACCCTTTTACATCTTTGCAAGGGCAGCAGGTGCCTCCAGAGTTGTCCTGACTTCGGTGGAAGGTAATGGATGTTGACCACTTGCATATCAGCTATTTTTTTTTTTTTTTTTTTAACTAAAGCTATAATTTTTTATCACCCTTATGTAAAGGGTGACTTGGAGGCCTCCCTGCTGAAAATTCAGATCTTAATTCAGCCCCTGTCTCAACTAAGTGAAAAACCCTTGAGCATACACATGTAAAACAATCCAAAACTTACTTGAGGCATGACAGCATTCTACACTGACTTGCCAAATTATTTTGCTTTTCTTTCAAGTAGAAAAAAGACAATCTCTGGCCCCTAGATTTGAATGTATCCAGAAGTGTACTAGAGCAAAAATTCTTTTATTGAATCAAAACACTTTTAACACAGATTAGATTTCTGAAGGAGCTAAATCGCCTGCTATTTAAAGCCCCCTCTGTCATTTACTTACATTTGTACCTTTGAGTCCCTTGTTTGTTGGTACGAGCACGGTAAATGGTCCCAGAGTACTCAGTGGCCATTCATAGACGTTTTCTTATAAGGAGAGAGGGAATAAAAAAAAAGAAATACATGTTGATAAGCTTGTTGGAGGAAGGGATTGTGTACTTGATGCCGAATATCCAAAGGCAGAATAAGAAAGAATATTATCTGTGATTATTAAATATTAATTTAAGATTCCAAGTTATTGAAAGATGAGAGGTAGGTGGGATGTGATATCCAGGTGCTGCTGCATATTTGACATAGGATGAGGCAAAACATTCAGAATACTTCTGGCAGCCCAGATTCTGTGGCATGCAGACCAGAGTGATGGACATGAAAACAGTGTTTCTTTGGAGTTGTATCTTTTGTCTTTACAGGAAGATGGCCTCCTGCTATAAATCAATTCAGTCTTCATGGGGAGAGGGATGTACTGCTGATAGCCTGCTGGTAGTGCAAATATCAGCAAGCACATAGCTGGTAATAAAAGCATATGCACTGTAAGTTAAATAAAGTTCATTTGCTACCCAGATGGTATTTCTGTTTCCAAGACAGCAGTATGAGACCACTGATTCTACAGCTGAAGGCATTAAATATTTCTAATATTCAACTCAATATTTTAAGCCTTTCCAGAGGCATAAAATCAGAACTAAAAAAAAATCTCTACAGTTGTTAAGTATGTTGTACCAGAGAACATATTTCAAAATTAACATGTTATTTTACAAAACAATGCAGATTATTCTGCTATATATTCTTAGTTTTTGAAAGACATTAATGTGGAGTGAATGTATTGGAATATAACCTCTGAGGTTAATGTGCCTGTGTAGGTTCTGGCTAGTAAATTGAATGGCACGTTTGTGTCCAAAACTTAATCAACGAACATAAAGTCTGGATTGTTGTTAACAAATGATGGTGCCCAGCATGTTGGGCGTTGCACCAGAAGATGATGAAGGCAATTATGCTGTTCTCTTCATGATGGAGCTGTGATACTGTGAAAGGCTGGAAGCTGTGAGCCCTGGTGGGGGCTGCCCTTCACTTCTGCAGACAATTTGGAAACCTGGAGACCCCTGAGCTGTGGCTGAGGTGCTCTGGTGGGGGGTCCTGAGGGTAGTGGTGACAATGGATGGGAACAGTCTCTTCCCTCTGTCTCTCTCTTTCCTGGTGAAAGCAATGCCACTGCTGATGACCAGGGACTGGGTAAGAGGGACCCAGTTGGAATCCTGATGTTTTCGGCAGACTTCCTGTGTGTCATTCTAGATCAAATCTCAATTATCCCAATCAATGAGGGCAGGGAGAGAGAGGTGGTAGGATGATCCCATTTATCCACTATTGGGCAAAACCCACTGGTGATACCAAATGATGTGATGTGATGAGGGGTTGTGGGAATGCGTTTAGCACCTCTGCTTGGAAATTCTTGCAGATTACACAGCACGCTGAGGAAAGGCAGCTTTAGGTGGTTAGAGGGAGTCTGTGGTGAGTAGCATGTGCTCTGTGTCATGCTGTTAGCGGTACCTTCCTGCAACTGGAGGTATCGGGTGAAGACAGGGCAAGATCAACCCACTCAGCAGGATCTGACTCTGCTTGCATGTGGTCACTTACCCATGAGTGATAAGGCAGATGTCAGCTTGCCTTGCCACCGTCCTCCCACTTCGGCATTCAGGTCTTGGAGGCGCTCTATGATGTTTCCGTAGCACACAAATCCATTCCCCACGGATCCCCCCTGGCATGTACACCTGTGAAGGGATTGTCATTTTAGTTGTGTGTTGATGCCCTGTGGTGTCAGCGAGGCTCTCGTTAAACCAGCTGTAGGTGTTACCTATATTGCTTCTCTGAACCTGTTTTCAGGAAGCATCAATGCATTTTAGTTTAATCTTTGCTTCTATATGCTGCAAAGTATGTCAGTGGGTAGGGCAGCCTGCAGGCTGCTTGCCTGATATGATGTCCTTCTGTCAGTTAGGGCAGGAGGCAGCGGTGTCTCTTGCAGAACCTCTTTGAACAGGGCCTGTGTAACACTCCTGGATGCGCTGCAGCCCCTGGTCCCCAGATATTGTGGTTGCTGGAGCCTAGAAAGCCACTGAGCCTGCATGCCTGTGGGCAAGGAGAGGCCATGGCATGAATGTGTGGGATGCCACCCTCGTGGCTGGGAGGCGGCTGTGTGAAGCCCTGGCTCACTGTGTGGGACTCGACAGGATTGATGGTAGTTGTGTGTGAAGGGGATGATGGCAGCTCATCAATCCTTGTGATAACTGTATGGCACTGTTGGAAAAAGGCAGGCAGGGGTGTCAGTCCTTTCAATGAAGCAAAGTGGTTGTTTTTTACACTGGCCTTTAAGTAACATAACCATTTTGGGCAATGATACTGGTTCTATATTATCTTTTTCAAATGTATACTTTATGCTTCTGCTGTCTCTGTACTGAAAATAGCATTTCAGTTGTAACATGCTGGCTGTCACCTGGGGATTCTAGCCCATGAGAGGTGTCAGTGATGTATGGTTGACCCAGTCCTACACGTGTCCAAAGCAGGCTCAGTTCATGGTGCCCATGAGAGTGACAGTCAATGCCTTGAGGAGGGCTTAGTGTCCTCACTGCCATGCAATGGGCTGCATATGAATTAGTGTATTGGAGCTAAAGCAAAATCTAAAGGAAATTTATGGAAGAAGAACCCCAAGTGCCAGTCTGACACTTTGTGTCCTATGAGGGAGGAAACATGCCTCATGAAAACTGAATCTTATGGCTGTGAAAGAACTCAGCATCGCAAGAGAGGTGGGGAAGAAACTGTTGTCAATATGATTGACAGATGCTTGCTATTAGGTGCTGACAGGTCCAAACAGTTGTGAATTTCAAAGAGCAACTAGGACCTGCATGTACCTTGATCTTGTGTCAACCTGACTATTCACACGGAGAGGTGGTTAGTACTTGCTAAAAAATCTGGACTCTTTAAGCCTGCCTCAATGTGAGGGACCATTGATGCCTGCTGGTTTTGCCAATCTTAGCTTTTTCTGTTGCACTCTTCAGAAAATCAGCCCCTGCTTGGTTACTCCTGGGAGACTGGCTGGTGGTGTCAGCTCAATCATTTATTCATCTTCAGTGCTAAAATTAAAGCAGGCACTTGTCAATGTGTAGTGCACACAGAAAGAAACCCTAACTATATTTAGGAGGTTAAACAGCTATATGGTATGCATTGACAAATGTTGGTTTTTAATAGTGTCTTTCCTAATTAAGTCTCCAGCATGTTCAGTATTCATATAAGACTTATCCATAAAGATTCATCTCTCTGAATGTTTTTTTCTAAAGGCATCATTAGAGAAAGAACATTACTCCATGCAAGCAAAATGTTCTTTATATAACTAATGACCTAATCATTTGCATGTGCTGGTTGTTACAAACACACATCTGCTATTCATACCCCATGGTAGTATCAACATGATGCCAGATCATCTCCTGTTTCCCACGTACGGTCTCTACCGTAGTCATTTCCCCGATGACAGCAATCTTACTTGAAAATCCCTGCAGTCCCTGCAGTCTAGGGAGCTGCATATAGACTCAGAGAGGTGCTGGGGTTTTGGACAGAAGGCTCAAGCTCTGACTCCTTCTGGTTCTGGGTAAAAATAGAAGTCCAAAAGCATCTTAAATTTTTAGGATGCAACTCTGATGGTGAGCCCTCTTCTTTTTAAGATCTCTTGGGTAGAGGATACAACTGTGGTGCCTAGATGAAGGAATTTGATCTGGGAGAGAGGAGCAGCTCCTTTTTTGGGGGCTGACCTCTTTCTTCTAGTGGGGTAAATATTGCTGTACTGATATACATAGCCCCCTTCACTTCTGAGCAAAGAGGAAAAAAACCTGAGGCTTCAAAGGAGCAGAGGAATAGTTTAGTAGAAAAAAGAAATTACCCTTAAAATATTGTACAAATCAGATCAAGGTTTCAAAATAAACCTCTCTCTCTTTCAGTAAATGGTCATGAAGAAGCAGGTGGTTAAGGATAGTGCACTGCAGAAATACCTATGTAGTTTGAAATGTCTTTTCTAAGGACAACATTGCTTAAAACTGAGTGGACATCCAGTTACACAGTTTGGATTTGGCTGTCAAAGGAAAGCCAATTACAGATTAGCACCTCTTGCATGGAATTTGAACCCTTCAACCTGTCTGTCCCCTCACTCCTTCCAATGGTGTAATTTACTCTGTGTGGCCAGGCTCGGGAAGGACCGACTGGGTGACTGACCGGAACAGTTTTGTCTTAGCTTTCTCTGAAGGGTCTGGTTTGCAACTCATACTGCATATGGTTGTATAGTTTTTGCTTTGAATGCACTGAGTACTGTAAGGGCTGAGTGCCTCTAAATAGAAATAGCTTTACAAGGAACCCTGCTGGACTATTTAAACTTTGTTGTTTGATGTTTTCTTGTTGTTCGATGATATGCTGCATGGACCGTATAGGCAGGACTGAAAAAGACAGGAACCGTCACTGCTTCAGTTTACTCAAGAAGGGAAAAAGAATTGTATCTCTTTGGAAAAGGGGAGCTTAGCTTTCCTTCTCCATTTCACCTGAAACTTGTATAATAGAATTTGGTTTATGAAGCTACTAATTTCTAACACTGAAGACAGAATCAGAGTGAAAATAAGAAATTAAAAAAGAAAACAATTGAGTTTAGTTGAGGGAAAGCCAGTTTTTCTTGAAAACCAGCGGGGTTATGGTTTAACATGCAGTGTAATTCTGCACCAGTGGAAGCTTTGTCACTTCTGGGCAATGCTGAACATAATTCCTGTGCTGAAGCAATGCCATAGAAAGTGTCAGCACTCACTCAGGAAATATCTAGACAGGAATAGAAAACTCAGCCAATCTTGAATTTCCAGGAGGCTGGCTGCTGTGTTATGTTCACAAACTAAAAGTTTGTCTTTTCTACATCTTTGTCCTTATAAGAGATTTATTCTTGTACAAATCATTTGATTCTGGAGAAAGTAGAAGAGATTCTATATGGGGAAAGCTAACAGCACAACTGTGTCTTCAATAAAACCGAAAGCAAAACAAAAGAAAGCAAGCAACACAGGTTTGTGGCCTCTGTTACAACGTTATGTTAGAAGGAAAAAAACCTACCGAAAAAAGCCCTCCCAGATATATTTAAAATCTGGGATGCAGCCAAAATGCCATAACTGTCACTTATCAGAAACAATTTACTGTGCCCACATTTATCAATTGATGTTTTTCTTTGCAAAGTTCCTCTTTCATACGTGGATTTTCCTTAGTTGGAAACTATTCAGTATAGTTTCATGGGTTTTTTTTTTTTTTTTCTCCAAACTACTATTTTAGTTTGATTTGAATCACACTTTTCTTCTGTATTTGTTTTTGGCATTAAAGGTCATTGAATGAATGATGTGCAAAGTATCTAGATTGCTTGTTTCCCTCCCCCAGTCATAAATTTTTAATTTTCCCATTCTAAAATCTCAAAACTTCCTTAGCTGTTGAAAATTAAATTGGAACAGTGAAACAAATTAGGAAAGATAAATTCTGATTTATGTGTTGTGGAATTTTATTTTAAACTTTCAACTAATGCTGTTCAGTATAGTAGTATAGTATACTTAGTGTATACTTATACTAAGTGTAGTTTGCGTAGTATAGTAGGCTCTATAAATTAACTAGGGGATATTCCAGATAAACTCGTTTGAAATGCACAATAGCTTACACAGAAGTGATGTTGATATTAAACTGTAAGAAAGCTGCATGATGAAGCAAGAACTGGCGGTAAGAATTCTCTCCAGGGTGAGTGCTTTCTGTCTATGGATCTATACGATAATTTGTTCACAATTTACAACTAATGGCCTGTCTTGTCTTTCACATTCAAACTCTCAGCTCCTGAAAATTAACATTTCAGGGACATATCTTTAAACCCAGTACTAGCTATCACTAGGCTATAGAAACATGTAATCCAAATTCTTTGGTTTAAAATAGCTTTGTTAAGTTTAGTAGTAAAACTGACTTTTCTCCTAACATCTGTGCAGCAAATTTCTGTACAGGAAAACGAACTCTGCCAGAGGTTTTGCAGTTTCTCACGTGCTTGACTCGAGGCTTTGAGGAATCTGCCGAAGTTGGTGTTGTTTTCACAGCATGGGGGTCAGATTCCCTAGCTGTATCTGTATTAGTATACTAAAAAGAGCAGGGCTCCACTGCTGTCGCAAGATAATTAATGCTGATTAATTTTTAGCCTACTGCCTGGCATGTTTCTGGCCCCTGCCAAGTAGCATTCTCATAGGCAGTGCTGTGGAATAGCGTGTGCCAGGGACCGCTGCCAAGAGGTTTTGGAAGAAGAAGAGACTTTAGCTGTGAGCCAGTGAGCCAGACCATGCTGCTTGCCCTGAGGAACAGAGAAGAGGTCTTCGTCCTTTTTATTTGCTGGTGTAGAAATGACCTCTCAGTGCAATTAAAAAAAAAAAACAAAAAAAACCAAACAAACAAACAAAAAAAAAAACCCAAAACAGGGAAAACCCCCCAACTTAGTAGGTATTAGCAATTGGACTGATGAAATCAAACACTATGCTAACTGGCTGACCCTAACCCCATTAAATCTTGTAATTTGTCCTTCATGAAGAAACCATTAATGATAACTTCCAGGTGTTAATCCACTGGATTTTTTTTTTTTTTTAGCAGCCTGTTTACTAGAGGGAGGAGTGAAAAACTGTGAGAAAGCTTTAATGAGCAGAAATACTCACGTAATCTGTCCTGGTGCAGCCATGGAGCATTTAGCATTTTTATGGCAGGTGTTGTTTGTTTCACAGATGTCTGTCATGCTGCATCCTTTCCCAGGTACAAAGTTTGTATAGTGCTCCTTGCATTCACAGTGGGACTAAATCAGAAGGATGGGAGAGGGAAGAGAAAAATTAGACGTGCACAAATTGTGGATTTCAGCATACCTTCTGGAACTAGGGTTTAAAGACAATGAGTTTCCAAAGCCTTAGTTAATCACCTGGTGAGTTCAGATTATCCATATTTATATAATTCCCTTCTAGATTTTCTCAACTCTGGAAAACTACTAGCTCTTAGATAAATTTCCTTCAGATAAAGTCCTTCATAGTCACATCTCTGACCAGAGAACATGTAAAATCAGTGTAGCTAGGTCAAGTTTTTTACCTCTGTTCTCACAGCCCTCTGCCTCCCAAAATGAGTGCCAAAGTATGCTATTAGCTAGTGAGGTCTGTCAGCACTGCCATTGTACACACCAGCCTGCGTGTGCCAGCCACATGCAGCTCACTGTGACACCCCTGAGAGGAGCGACTTATATGACTGTGAGCTGCAGGATGACCCTGGATGACTGAGTCCCTCTTTGGCTCTTCAGGGTGTTCAGGCAAAACAGGCATGGTCTTCTGAAGTCTCATTTTCTTGGTGGTGGGAGTTCTGCACACAGAAATCTAAGTCAATTTCCAACAGCATGAATAATATGCAGCTTTTATACAGGACCTTTCATTGATTATCCTCAAAGACCCAGATTACTTGTTTGCTAAATACACTAATTTTAGGCATGTATCTGTGGTATCTGGGTAAGGAACCTACTGGTCCTACAAGACCCCTGTGGTCAGAGAAACAAAATTTAACTGATAGAAGCTTTGTTTCAGTGCCTCCATTTCAGGGAGGCATCTCAGACAGAATATTATAGGAAAAAGAACACTATTGCCATTCCCATTTTCAGAGGGGGAAACATGAGATACGTACATTGAGAAGGGAGGTAAAGGGACTCCTGCTCAATGACAGGGCTTATGCTAAAGCTAGGAGTAGCATTTGGTCTCCCTGAGGCCTGTTCCCCTACCTTCATGGCTGCTTTTTGTAGAGAAAGCATTATTTCTTCTTATGCAGTTGACATGGGAAACATCTGGGGCACCCATTCAACACTAACCTTTCCTGGACCGTCATATATGCAAATGGTGGACTGTGCAGGGCAATTCCCATATGTAGCTTGGCAAGGGTCTATAGGTAAGCAGACTTGACCATCCCCTCTGTAACCTTCTCGACAGCTACATTCATGCCGATTTGGTCCGAAGTAAATGCAGTAGGCGTTAGGATCGCAGACCTTTTTGGAGCATGGGTTGATAGCTTGTGGAAAAAAAAGTAAAGTAAATGAATTATTATCTACAGTTCTCAAATTGAAGGCAAGGATTTTTGTGAGCACCTTCATGCCAAAAGAAGCCTGAGTAGACTAAACTCTTCATAACAGCCAAGTCTGAAGTATCGTGGCGGCATGAAGATAGGAGGGAGGAATGTGTTTATACTAACTTGGCAAATTGAGTTATAAACAGATTAAAACATGTAATGTGCTCATTAAAATATCACAACTATTTCCCTGTTCCCTGTTCAGCTTTAACCAGAGAAGGTCAGGTGGGTGATATGAGGTCCATACAAGCTTTAAGCATGTATTATATCAGTTGGAAAATATTTCTCAATACAATAGGCCTTTGCTGTTTTCTTTCCGGTAATTAAACAACATAATGTTATCCGTTCAGCTCTATGGAAAACTGGCCAGCAAGTACTTTAGTCATGTCTTCCACACTGCTGTAGTTTCAGGGCTGGACTGGACTGGAAGCTCAATAGTTATTTCTGTGGGCCTTTTTTTCAAGGCAGTGGCATTGTTGGACCTTGTTCATAGTCCAGCAGTACTTGGAGAGCATCTTCTCACATCTTGTGTCTGGTTTAGGATATGGTCACGTGCACATTGTAGATAGAAGGTGGCAGGTCCTGGACTCACCTAAAAGGTGCTGCTGCTCCCTGTGTTCTCCTCTCCTCTTCCCTTTCTTCCCCCTCAGCTTGGGCTGAGAGAGCTGGCAATGCTCAGCTTCACTATTTCAAGCCTTCTCTTGTTCCAATGTGAAATCACGCACGTACACACATTCACGTGCTCAAGTAGCCCATAAGCAATGCCACCTCCAAGCTGAGTCTGGGGCAGTTACTGTTATCCTCACTTATGTCTTAGCAGCACCAGAGCTGCTTGTTCTCTGATTCCCAGCCAGTCAAATGTAAAAGACACTGGCTTAAGCCACAGGTGACCCCAGTATCCAAAGGCACTGGGACAGGGGAGCAACATCCAGGCAGGCTGCATCAAAGCAAAACCCAAGAGAGGTAGTGATACTAGCGTCTTCCTTATCTGACGATTTCTGCAATTTTTTTTCTCTTGCTTGTCTACGCTGCCTACTAGAAGAACCTCACATTCCCTGAAGAGTGACTTTCTAATGTCTTGCTTTTGGATGCTGTCCAAGCCTACTCAGAAAGGACTACACCATAGTTAAGACCAAGAGAGTTGAATCCTTTAATGTAAATATTTCCAGAGAGGATAAGTAATACTGTATTTCTGACCTGACCCAAGCTGACATTTACTAAGTAGTGCTTCCAGCATCAAATGTAACCACTTTCTTCATTACAATTGGTCTAGAAGAAAGAACTAGTGGTGTAAGACGTAATGTGAGTAGAGACTCTTGTAATACAGTTAATTTGAGCATTCAACAGCAAGTTGAGGAGTCTCTAAAACAACTTTAAGGTAGACTTTTACCTCTAGCTGAGATGCTCTTACTTTTGTTTCATAAAAAATGAAAAAGAAAGCTAAAATGAGCTTATCTGTAGGGTTTATACTTAGTGATGAAGCTGAGCTGCCACATGATGGCTATTCAATAAATATAAGCCTTTGATTGATGTTGCTAATTTTTATGGAAGCAAACTATGAGGTTGAACTTTAGCAAGTATGGTGACATGATAGGAGAGGATTTGTAAGCACCCAGTTTCCACACTACATATTTTGAGGGAGTTTACTAGCTTTAGTCTAGTTGCATGGACTGAAACTTGCTAGCAGTTGGAATGATGTACTTCTGGAGCACATTTTAGGGTTTAGCTTCATCCAGAAGGAACCCAGTTTGTTCACCTGGGACTGCTTTGGGGTATGAACCCAAGAACAATTAAGTCAAGAGAATGGCGAAATTTGCTTCAAAAGTGCGCTCAATATGCCAACTATAAAATTAATGATGTTGTACCCAAAGAACTCGGTGGATGTGAAAATTACTCACGTTCACATTGTGTACCGTCCTTGTGGTAGTTGGGCAGACATGTGCATTGCAGTTGTCCTCCATCCTCACTTGAGGCAGTGCATCTGGAGTTTGCAGGGCACCGCAAGGCCTCGCATTCAGCTATTGCTGATGGACAGAGGGTGACAGGTTAAGCTGTGTCTGTGTACTGTGTCAGGAGACCTTGTGTCCTGCATTATACCAGTTCAAAGTACCCTTGATCTAGGGACCATCAATCCCACTGCTGTTGTCATTATTCTGGTGATTGAAGTGGTGGTGATGGTTATGGGTTTGAGGGGTGGTATATGTTTGGTTGCTCTAGAGTGACTAACCTGAGACTACTTTTATGTTTGGCCTGGCCAATTCTAACCGTATCAGAGGTGTTGATTTTATTTTATGTAGAAAGCAATCTACTTACGCTGATCACAGCTGAGACCTTTGTATCCAGACAAGCAAGTGCATCTTCCATCCCCTGTAATTCCACTGTTGCACACTCCATGAACACAGTTGCAGACTAAAGGGAAACATGTATTGGCTTTGGATTGGGTTGAATAATAGTGGTATTTGGAAAGACAGTGTTATGGTTACCCATAGCAAATAGTCCTGGCCAACAACTGTTAAATATTATAAAGTGTGATCTTTCAAAACCAAGATTTGACCCGAGTTCCTGAATTTGTAGGCTTCCATTAATGAGAAGATCAATACTCACAATTGCCTACATTGATAAATAACACTGATTTTTGCAGGGTGATAATAGCCTGAGGGCCTGAAAATCTCTACTGCACACATTATAAACACCAAACCGACCAGTTGTTAATACCATAAAACTTTTAAAATTTGACATGCAGTCTTGAGCCAAAATTGAATATAAATTATAACAGAGGCTATTTTTATAACTGTTAAAAAATTGCTCATTTTTGTTTCGATTCTATTTGCCCCTCTCTCATACACCTCCGGAAGAGATGATTTTTGTGACCATTTTTTCCCCCTTCTAAACAGAATTCGTTTCATTAAAAGGATAGTTAAGCATTGTGTAAGTCTCAGGTTTTTTCTGTTCCTGTTCTTATATTCTTCCATTTCTGGTTATAAATCTTGTGACAGTATGAGCACAAGACTCCATATTCAGAATCCAGGCAACTATGAGACCCCTTTATAAATGTTTTTTAAAGCCTTATCTATACTTAAAAAGCTTTATAGTTATAACTGTTTCAATTATGGTAATGATACTTTTTAAAAAGGCCCTGGAAAAGCCTCCGAGATGTACAGAGTAGTATTGGTGACTTAACATTTAAGCCACAGTGATGTAGTGTATCCTCTTCCCTTTACAAACATATCCTGTTTTCACACAAATCACCTACAGTAATTAATTAGTAATATTCTACCTATGTCAGTAGGCCTAATACAAAAACCAGGAATATCTAAGGTGTTGCTGAAAAGCAGTTAGTCACAAATGCATAGTATTTATAGCAGCTTAGAGAGCTTGGAGGAGCTCATCTGTCTGAAAGCTGAAGTGTGAAATATTGCTTAAATTAATATGCAATTGAATACTCCAGTAGCTTCTTGGAAAATAGTTACGATATAATAGTTTATGATTTTTTAATAAATTCAAGTACCCTATTTTCATGAAACACTTGGCTCAGTTGTATTTCCGTGTCTCAACACTGGCATCCAGTGGACAGTTGGTGGAAAAAGGGCCTTTGAGTGAGCAGTGGTGTAGGTTGGGTGCAGAAAGGCCAACACAGATTGTTTAAAGTGAGACCATTTGTGACTCTTTTTAGAAGTAACTTTAGTCAGGGAACAAAAAGAGTTTTGCTTAGAGATAAACAACTATTACCACTTGAGAGAGACATTTCTTAACATTTTTTCCAGGCAGTTTTCTGATGTGTCTGTTTAAAGCCCAGCAGGGGTCAGGAAGGTGAATAAAATACTAGAAATCATTAAGAAACTAGCAAAACTGGAAAGTATTATACAAATATATACACTTGTGATACATATACATTTTAAATAGTGCACGTAGCTCTGATCCCCACCCTCCTGCCCAATGTCCTGCTTCTCCTAATAGAAGTATCACCAACCAATGGAATGATCTACCAGCCAAAACCCAAAACTAAAACAAATTAATATTTTTTTACATTTTTTACTAAATTCTGTAACTCCTTGGCACAGAATATTGTGGAGAGCAGAAGCAGAACTGGACTCAGAGGCAAGGTAGATAATTTATGGAGGATGGATGCAGCAGAAGCCTTTAAACA